CCATGAACTGTGGTGCTGACTGCTCAATGTTGCTATTAAGGGAACCATGGATATGTGACGAATGATTACAATCATTGCCCGATCAAGATCTTTGGATCAATGAGTTCAGCCTTTAACTCAAATGGGTATGTAATATTTATCAAAGATTTCAAGTCTCAGAAAATCCAACAAGATGTCTCTTTGAAATGAATTCTTAATACTCTGTAGTCATTGCCAATACCCATTTGGAGCCCCCTTTATCGGAAAAAATAACCGTAGTTGATAATGACGCAGATTAAGTTTTGATTAAGTATTTTTTTGTGGGTAAAGGCACACACTTTTCAACCAGTTGGGTTGATCCAAAAATCCCTGTGTCGTGCACACACAAAAAAATCTACAATCAGCATAAAGGCACAATGGCTCGTACCATACTTAGTGTAAAATTTTTACAGATTTGAAAAATTTAGAAAAACCGTAAAAACAAGAAAAGTGATCATCTGAAACTTTCATCTCACTGATAGTAATCACAGCTAAGAAAGACGTATAGATAAAACTAACAATGAGAGCAAAATAGAAAAACGAATGTTTCTGCAAAAAAATATCAGTTGCCAAATAAAGAACACTAGTCGATCAAGGAAGGTTATCTAGTCAGATCTTGCAAGAACTTGGAATTTACTTTGCAAAATCAATGAAGAGTGAGAGTTTCTAGCAAGAATTTTGCAAGGTTCTTGCAAGATCTTTCAAAAAATCCTACTGTGAAAATTTTTCAAAAAACCTTATTCTGAGCGCCAAAAAAAACACCATGGAGTTCCAATTGGACTACGGTCACAAACATTTCTGAATTCAAGTTCGGATTAAAAAATTAGGTTGGTCAAGTCTTGAAAATGGTCAATTATAAGCACATTTTTCCGCTTTCGTGAGGTGAAAAACTTCACGTTGTGTTTGTAATTTACGAATTAGATGATTAGATGATTTATGCATATGATTAGTGAACAAATGGCCCATATGGCTTGCCATCCAACTACGATGTTCCTTCCTTCATTTCAAAATTTCATTGTGCAATTGGGAATAGCATGTTTTCATAAAGCCAAATAACCGAAGAGCAAGCAATGTTTTTGATAAAGCGGATCAAACTTTTTTCAAAGAGGCACGGATGCACAATTTACATCTTTTAAAGTTTGCTTTCATCACTTGAAGCACGCAAAACGAATTATTAGAGCAATTTATACGTTTCATATGGCAAACAGACGGGCAGACATACTGTTTCAAAAAGAAAACTTATAAATTGTTAGGCAATTGAAAAACCGATCGATGCTACATTGGGGAATTTGAAGGCAGTAATATTTTTGAGTGACAATTTTAAAATTTCAAAAAGCTAATACTAGATCATAGCAGGTGCGTCAAAGGGTCTGCTCGTAGTGGAATTAGAAAAGCTGTTTTTGCATCGCAACTCTTACAACTTTTGAAGAAAATGAGGAAATTTATAAATTCGGTGAGATTTGTGCCTCCGGGAAAAAAGTCGCTGCAGAAACAATTTTTTAAGTTTATGAAACGTTTGGTAGTGATGCGCAAACATGAAAGTTGCGTTAATCGAGTTTCGTTTTTAATAAAGTTTTTTTTAGAAACTCTATCTAGTTTTTGAATAATTGTATCAGATTTTTTGTTGCTTGGTCGGAATATTTAGGTTTTTCTTCCGGTACGGCCAAAATTTCTCAAATTTTCAAAGAAAAAGTTTTTCAAACATAAAAAAGACACGCTGAACTTGTCTATGAGCTTTTTTAATGGGTCCAAAGTTAATACTTTTTGCTTGTCATTGCACAAAATTATGTTTTAGGCAAGATTTTCATGAAAAAGATTGAAAGAAATTACATTCGGTTTTTTAACTAGACAATAATTTTTGGGCAATAAAAAAATTTGGGCAGCTTATGGGTCAACTTGGAAGATCAGTGTTTAGATTTGATAATAGCTGGTTGGCTAAATAGCTATTTCAATCGTGAACCAAAAAAAAATTCAAAATTTGAGACAAAAAGTTATAACCAATTTGGTTGGTCTATTGATAAACCTGGGTTAACAAAAAATGAGAATCTTACAATTGGTTTTTGAAAACAAATTTTCTTAGATTTCCATACTATTCCAAAGAAAAAAATAGTATGAAAACAGCTTTTTTAGCTTTTTTTGCCATTTATGTAATAGTTTGACTAGATTTTCTTACATAAACATTATGACAAGCATTTTCCTCATATATTGTATTTTTTTTGTGTGTTCTGATTTATAATTTGGTGTTGTAACCTGAAAACAAAAACTAATCGTTTTTGCAAATGCAAAAGCCAATAGGTTGAATGGCATCAAAGTCGCAGATTAAATTAATCCTCGAGATATGCCAATTAGTTTAAACTATTGAAATTCACAAAAAAGTGTAAGAGTTAGTAATAAGAAAATAGTAATACTGACATAACGGAATACTTCTTTGAGTTTATTTTTTCTTTTTTTTATATAAAAAACACTGGGCCTGGGTTAAAGTTTCAAATTTGAGTTTCCAGTTATCGTCGAAAATTTATATGAAATTTTGACAAAATCAGCACCTTCAGTTCATAGTATGGTTAATCAGGCGTTTTGGCCTTTGATTTTTTCACTGTCGAAGCAAAATTAAACCAGATGGTCTAGAAATTTGATCATACTATCACTTTTTTCACGCAAATTTGCATTGTGGTTAGTTTCAGGGGCGATTTAGGGGAGGGGGCGGGTGGGGGTTTGCTTCCTTTTAGGGATTCAACCCCTGCCGACGCAAAGGGTCCCCTTTGTACTATTTTGATATATCCATTTTTGGTGACGGACCCTAAAATTTTTCTAAAGGCCTTTTTCGCTTTTTTCGGCCTGTTTTTTCAAATTTTCGGATGTGCCGCAGAAATTTCGGCCAAAACAGAGTCTTCGTAGTGCTTTGGGAGAGCTCAGAAAATCAATTCGGTCGACCTAAAAAAAAGGTCGACAAAACTTTCGATTTTTCAAAATCCACCCCCTTCGAGAAAATCCTAGATCCGCCCCTGGTTAGTTTGATATATTTTTTATAGTTGACGATCTCGTTAAGAATGCACGGTATACGCATACCGTTACGGTATATGTTATAAAAATGGTTATGTCCAAAAATAACAAAAATTGAAAAATTATTTAAAAATTTAAGGAAGCTTAGACACGGCAATTAGTTCATCCCGGCTTTTGACCTAATACAAACAGTCTTGTCTTTCTTGTTTTGTTTGGAATTTCATCGTTTTTTTTTTCATTTCTTTTTTTTCTGAAAGAAAAACAGCTCTTTCAAACTGGTCAAAACTCCCTGATTTCTCTCTTTACCTCAAACTGTTTTATGGCTATACTGGCGCGCTCTGTCGGCGGGGTGTCAAAATGCGAATAAAACAAAATTCCTAAAATATATATTCGCTCTTGCAATGAGTATAAGCAAATATGCAACTACCAATTTGGTCTCCCATGGATTTGTTTTGGTTTCCAAGTTTGAGTTTATTGTTATCTTCTAACCAAATTTATCCTGTTTCGTAAACTTATTTAATCGGTGGGGTAGATATGTGACACTATTGGAAGTTATGGTGTAAATCAATTTACCATGTGGATTAACTATTCAACGATCCTCCGTGAAAGGATAATAAAACCCTAAAAATGTAAACATTCTTCACACCTTTAGCACTTTTTCTTTTCCGGTCAGTCGCACTTTCTTAGTAATTTTCTAAAAAATAAATTACGTGGTGTCATTTTTTGACCATCATGTTTATGTTAAAAAACATCTAACAAAATTTTCACTGATATGCTTGCTTTTTTATTTTATCTGAGAATCATGATTATAACTCATGTTAAATTTTCTTTAGCCTGACTGCGTGTAAAGCAGAAAAAAAAGAGTTACAAAAGAGATTTTTATAATCTTATTGTTATAAAAAACCCTTTCAAGTTACTTAACTATCTATTATTCTTAATGGAATTAGATTTGAGTGTTAAATAAAAACCCAACTGAGGCGTATTGTTAGACTGGGTTGTCCGGGTCGACCTCGTGACGGGTAAACCCCTTGGGTTTTCCGCCCCCTTATCACCCCGATCGGAAGTTCCAATGGGGAGTTTACCTGTGGGTTCAAAGCGGGCTGATTATCCTGAATTTCGAAGATAAAAACCCTTTTAAGACACCTTCGCAATCTACTACCGGTTCAGATTATTAACCCATTTGGAAAATGAACCAAAATCCGGCTGGAAGGAAATATTTGGTTGCAAAGGGAAGTTGGGGGTTATTTCTGTAGACTGCTGAATTGACTTTTGTTAAACAGTCTTTATACTTTTTCAATCTATTGTCCAAACAAGAGTCAACAAACAGGTTCTATTATATCCCAATTTTCCATTTTACTGTAAGCAGCTCATTCAGCGTCCTAGTCAGAGTCAAGGTAAAACGCCTATTTTATTTTTAATTAAAAACATATATGGTGGCTCTAAAAAGAATCATAATAATTTGCAATTCAATTATTGCAAGGGCGTGGTCGTTGCTTTTCCGTGAAGTATTACAAATTATATTAAATTGTTTCCAACTAGGCGTCTCAGATTGCGGGAAAGGGGAGGGGAACGGTTTACTCTTTTTGGAGAGGGGTTAGATTGTTTTCTGAGATGATCACCCAGATAGTTTTGCTAAAGTCAATAATTTTGGGCCAAACTTTTTTCCGAGAACGTATACCAAGTTTGATGGTTATAAAGGAATTTCGAAGTTTTGAGGAAACCGTGTTGCATAAATCCCCTTGAGCTTAATGCATAATGACTAATGACGCCGAGGTATTAAAACAATTTCAGGGTTGGTCATTAAAAAACCGGTTTCATAGAGTAATCTGAAGAATAGGAACTATGGCGTAGGATCTGTTTTTTTTTTGGCCTCCCGATTTGGGCGTTCCTACAGAAAGCTCGTCGCATAAAGTTTGAAAAACTTTTGTCGTGAAAAAATTTGGTCTGTATTAAACGTTCATTACAAAAACGAACTTCTAAATTTTAAATTCTAACTGGGCTTAAACAATTCATAGTCAGGTTGTTAGCATTAAATGGAGTGGTCAATTTCAGTTGCTGAAATCCTTGAACAAAGTTTGCCGACCTCTGTTAAAATAAGTTCATTTTTATCGTCGGTAACGACCAAGTAAACCAGCGGTGCCAGCAAAGGTGCTAGCTCCGAAACTGGCGGCCATTTTTTGGTCAAATTTCGATCCAGAATTAGCGGAATTATCTTTTTGTTCCAAAGTTTTGCCAGATGAAATTCGCTTCTGGCGTTTGCGGAGTTTAAGTAGCTTTCCGTCAAGCATGGGACAAAAACTTTGCAGCTTTGTACACCTTCTTGTATTTTTCCATACAGATTGTCGCCCGGTCCTATTTTCTGTTTATCTTGCCAAACATGAAAACATTTTTGAGTCAGTTTTCCGTAAATTTGGTCAACTAAAATGCCGTCGGCCCAGCTGTATGAAAGGAAAACATCGACTGATTTCGATACTTCAGAGGTACCAGGATCGAATCCAGCCGAAACCGCTTTGTTTTTGCTTTTTGAAGACGATGCTTTCACTTTTTCCGGCTCAAATTTAGGGCCGAGGCTTCTAATGATTTCTTTCATTTTCCAAGCTATTTCGTTCGATTTTGGGTGCGCTTCAAGAACATCGCTGACCGTTTGCCTGTTTTTGTTTCTCAGAACTAAGTCAGGAAGCTCTTTACATTGAGTGCAGAGAGCCGAAAGAGCATTCAGGTTACATTTTCTTGCTGCTAAATGCAGGGCAGTGTTTCCAGTCGATGTCTGCTCGTCGATTAACAGAGAAGTTTCTGCTAGTAGGAACTGAATGACGTCACTCTGGTCTGAGTCAGCTGCTTCGTGCAATGGGTTCCAGTTGTCGTCCGTCTTCCCGACTGAAAAAATAAGCTGATTTTAATCCATTTTTTTCTGCGAATTTATATATTCAAGTCACTAAAAATCAATCAAGCCCTGGAACTTTGCTTGCGGAAGAATAATATTAAAAATTTTCAAAACCTCATTTTTCAAAACGAATAAAACTCTACTTAATTTTTGCAAAGTTTCTTGAAAAGCAACCGAAATTCGAAAATTTTTGCACAAATTATGAACTTTTGAGGAAGTCACATAGCATAAATGTAACATGTTCACTTCGAGATCATCAGATTGTGATTTCGATGCCTTGCCATAGCAATGCTAGTGTGTGAGGATGAACTCTAGCTTCAGGTCTACTACAACTTGACCAATGTTTGGCTGCAATAGTGGTACTATATCTGGAAAAACTATACGCAAAAAAAAACACCCCGAAGCCGCAAGTATATTCACCGCAAGAAAATACTACAAGCAAAAGAACATCCTGAAGCCGCAAGAAAAAGCATTCTCACTGATTTCTTCAACAAAAATGTGAAGAATGAGAAAAATGGAAATTGACTATGCCTAGAAAAGATTGATAGTTTTTTTTAAGAATCCACTTCGAATCGCTGAAACCTTAATGAAAAGTGATGAAATGGTTTTTTATTTTAATTTTTATATTACAAAATGTTCAATAAAAAACAGACGGCTCTAAAATGCAAACCTTTATTTTTTCGAGCTCCATCTGAAGTTTCTTAAACAATTTCTAGTTTTTAATATAAAACGCTCATTCTTTAAAATTTCAAACTTCCAACGCCTGACTAATTTTCAATCTTATAAAAAACATGAAAATCTGTGTTCAGAGCGTTGCATCTCCAAAACTTTTAAACTATTTAAAATAATGGAATTTTTCGAATGTTTTATTTTACGTGAGGTCAAAAAATTAAAAATTTTGCTTGTCTTGAAATATTTTTTATACGATTTTTTTTCAATACAGTTTCAGAATTTTCGAATTAAAATATGCAATATCTGAAATGCACATCCAAACACATCTTAGACTAAAACTTATGTTAGTTAGCTGGCTGATTTTTTAAGGCTTTAATTGATTCTTCAGAATTTTAAAATGGATGCCTCAATTGCTTTTGAATTGATAATCATGGGGAATTTTATTGATTTTTAGACTAAATTCTGAGGATATGATCAGTTTTTTCTATAAATTTGTTGTTCGCTAAATTTTTTCTTTCAATTAGCTAAAATTGTTGTAATTTTTTTCAATTTCGAGTTGTCCAAAAACTTTGTCTTTTGTTTAATAAAATTCTAAATAATTTTTATAATTTAACGCAATTTTTTGAGTTTTTGGAAAAAGTAAGATCTAATTGTCAAAATTTTTTCTGCAAATAATCATAAAAAATTTGCGTTTTTTTTATTTATTTGAGTATTTTGAAAAATCTTCAACATATTTACTAACAGATTGAAAAGTTTTTTGACAAAAACTAGCCATGGTAGCCAGGATTCGTATAGAAAAACTAGAAAACTTTCAAATGTTGATAGAACTAAGAAAATTCCTTCCAACTTTCGACGGTCGCACAACACCGCTAAATCAACGTATAAAGACGTCTTCCGTATTTGAGATTTGTTTTTGCTTCAGAACACAATTTATTTTTGCTTTATGTGGCTTTAAAAGAGATTGATAATTGCTTTTTATTATTAGTAAAATAAGTACTGCCATTGATCTTTGTGTTGTGACCAATGAAAATGGAAAGGAACTTTGTATTCGGGAGTGTTTTAATTGTTTTCTCTTTCTTCCAAAATTTTTTTTCGTTTTCTATGCAAAATCAGGTACCAGAAATAATGATCGAACAGATTCAAGTGATTTATTATGTTAAAGCCCTTCTAGTTGGAATTCGAACGCAATTAAACATTTTGTAAAAAAAATCCTAGAGTGGAGAAAACCGATTTGAAATTTTTGATTTTTCGTCATTTTTCAGCAAGCAAAGCGATCGAGTAACAATTGTTTCATATGGAAATTAGAAAATCAGTCTGCAAAAAGTTTAATTTTACTAAGAAGAAAATTAATTTTGGAACCCTTAGTTAGCTCTTATCGGGCAAAAAAACTCTTTCAAAATTTAAAAAAAAAATTTTGTGCGAAAAATTGAAAAAAAAACTTTTTGAAAACTAGTTTTTTTTAAATTTTATTGTTAATTTTAGTAAACCATTAACCAACTCATTAAACTTTTACGCGTCCGTTTAGTTGTATTATATTACGTAGAAAAAAGAAACAATTTTTTTTTCTGAAAATGTGGTCGGAACATTCTGTGCTAATTGCAGAGCAACAGGCTATCCTAAGTTTCAGATGAAATTAATATTTATAATTTGCATTAATTAACATAAAAATATCTTTTAGCGTTTAAACAGATAAATGTGTATGCAGTGCTCGTTTACATTTTACCGACAAAACGAACAGCATTGGTGTTTTGAAACGCGTTTTTCTGAAATTTGGTTAAGGGTAGACGGAAAATGAAGAAAACAGAAGTTGTTTAGAATTGTACCTCACAATATAATTTGTGAAACATGGACCTAACCTTTTAACCAAAATTGGGGCATTTTTGATTTTGTCTGTTAATCAACTATGAAGCTGAAACAATTTAGTTACTTGATGAGAATGAGAAATCAATCGTTGTCTTTTTTACAGAACAACAAAATTTAAGAAGGGTTAAACCTCCAAAATTATATGTAAGTGAAAAGTTTGTTACTTGATAGTCAAAAAAGTCATCTTTACCAATTCAATCTCAAAATCTTTGCGTAACAACAATTTTTAAGCTTTTCGCCCATAATTTTCGGGGAGTTAACCAACCTAAATCTTTCTTGGACTGTGTAAGACTTCTTTTGGTATAGTTTTCTTGTCTTTGGACTTTTTTGTTTTAGCGTTATTTTTGAATAACTCAAAGAGCAAAAATGATCGATTTTTGGGGCAAAAATTTGGCTCCGAATTTCACAAAATAGTTTGCCCGTGCACCACCAAAATTCTGGTAAAATTCTAGATAACTTCTGTTTTCTTCAGCTTCGGTCTAACTTTAACCCAATTTAGAAAAACTTGTTTAAAAAATCCGATGTTGCTTGTTTTGACCGGATAATTTAAATCAGTCTTGTATATTACACACGTTAAATGTTTTAGTATCAATCAAATCGATAAAAAAAAGTAGAAAACTTAAAATGACCTTTTTACGCTGAACCTTTTCTGATACCAGCCAATTTGAGCTGGCATATACAAACATTGAGCTTCCAGGCTACTTCAAAACCAAGACAAAAATTTATTATCATTATCCCGCCATGCTTGAAAATTTAGTCCAAAATATTCATAGCGTGCCCTTTTACTCAATGCTTGAGTTATCTCACCTAATGAACAAACTCAAAAACTGTTCAAGCTTCTCAATAAATCAAAGAAACTTAAGTTTATTTTCGAGGATTCTTGAACGTTTTTATGAACAAAAACAATACGATTCAATAGTCACACCAAGTTGACAAAACAGACTTTGATTGTTTTCAAAAGCTATAATTGAATGTAGTTTGAATGATAAACTTACGCAAAAGTGAAGCCTCTTTTTGCATAATGATCTTCAAAATATCAATTTGTCCGTTTCTAGCTGCAATATGGGCACAGCTGGCGCCACGATTTGAAGTCAGTTTCAAATCAGCTCCTTGGTCCAAAAGTTTGGTGAAAACTTCACTTTTGTGACCAGATCCACATGCCAGAATCAAAGCTGTCAGGCCTGATGAGTTTTGAAGGTCCAGGTTTGGATTTAGACTCAGGACTGTCTCAATTGTTTGAATGTTACCTGTTTTTATGGCTGTCATAAGGGGCGTTTCTAATTTGTCTCGCATTGGTCGATCTAAACAGAAAAGACCTCTTGAAACGAAAGAAATTTATTTAAAAGTTTTTGTAATTTGGCAAAAGTTTTGTTGTTTTAATAAGAATCAAGATGTATAGTTTTTCTCCCGGTGGTATTAAATAGTAAATTCATTAAGGGCGCTAGTGCAGTCTCTAACTATCAAAAATTTTTCAACAACGCTGTTATCCGCGGAAAATGCCTGAGGATCATAAAATGTTTTCGAATAGTCCGTACATGGTCCTTTCTTTGCGGATAGGCAGTCTTATAACTTAAATAACGTGTGTTATTGTAAATGTTTGAGAAGTTGATATTTAAAATCATGATGAAATATATTTCAGTTCTAAAAAAAATAGGTTTAGACAGAATTTCGACCAAATCCGTGTCAGGGTCTAATTTACGATTTATCATTGTTTCGTGTGTGGTTGTGAAATTTTCTTAAGGTCGACCAAAATGAAACACTATAAAAACATTTTAAAAACTCACTTATGTCGGCTCCTTTCTCCGCCAGAAACTGGATCACAGAGTGTTTTCCATTTGAAATTGCCTCATGCAAACAGCCCCACCCGTCTGAACTGATTTCACCGATTAAAGATGGCTCAAAATCTAAGAGAAGTTCCAGTACATTCTGTGCGCCGTGGCGAGCCGCTAGGTGAATTACGCCACAACCTAAAAATTACGGAATTTTAAAATGGTGTTTTTTTTCTGTTTTTTTTATTTGATACAATACGTGTTTCCGAAATCTAATCGTGGGTTAAAATTGATTGGATTCTTTTTTCAACAAAAAAATAACAAAAATAGATTCAACAAAAAAATAAACTAATACTAATTTTCTCAAAAGTTGAGTTCTTTTCAACTGATAAAGCCGGTTTGTATCTGAAAACTTACACCTTTGCTGGCATGTAATCAATCTTACCTTTTCTTGACTTCAGTTTCGGGTCAGCACCGTGTTTCAAAAGTGTCTTGCAAAACTCAAGCATTCCCTTTGCGGCCGAAATGTGCAACAAACCCAGCCCTAATTCTGGGTTTAAATTGTTCACTTCAGAGCTGCTCGTTTTCAGCCATTCTTCTAATTTAGTCACGTCTTTAGACTTGATCAAAGTCCAGGGAAATTCAATGTAAGCGGTAGAACTGGACATCAAAGTTCCCTCCAAATTCTGAGAATCGTTTTTTGGCGGCAACAATTCGGGAATTGTTGTTGGTTTTTTCAGCAATTTGCTTTGAATTGTGGAACTATTTTTTGAAGCTGGAGTGGAATTTGTGGTAAAAAGCGCAGGTGATCCACGTACAGATGAATTGTTCCATGTTTTCAACGCTGTAGCGTTGCGGCTTATTCTATGGGACTCAATATTATGTGATTTCATAACAGAAACCATATTGATTTTTTTTTCAACCAAAAAAGCACGTTTTTTGTTCAATTTTTACGTTAGGCAATTTGCAAAATAAAAAAAAATAGGAAATGTTTTTTTTTCAATCAGTAAAACACTCAGAAAAAGAGTCAAAAACTATTTTGACCGAGGTTGAAGACTTAATGTAAAACAAAATAAAGTAAAATGATCTCTTTTGCGTTTATTTTTGAAGTTTTCTATTGTTCAAACTGTCGTCAAAAAGACCAAGGGCCATTCGTCGGCAAAACAATGAAACCAAATTATGAGATACTTTCAAAGGTATGCAAAAGAAGTAATATACATTAATGATATTTTCGAGCTAGCTTGTAAAAAGCATGGGCTGGGATATATATAAAAAACACAAATCAAATAATGAAGCTTGCTTTCAAAGTTGCTTTTATTAAACGCCGCAGCTTAAACGTCTCAGTAACTTCAAACAGTTAATTATTTTATGATCAAAGCAAAAGATTTCTCAAGTGGTAAAATTTTATTCAATGATACACGGTCTTACGCTTTCAGCAAACTCTTCCAAAAATTTTCAACTGAAAAAAAAAACATCATTAACAAGACTGCTCATTTCAATGTAACACTCTTAATTTTCAGATTGCCCTTATTCTGCTTGAAGTAAACATGCGTTGAAAGTTTCAAAAATAATGACAAAAATGTTGAATTTTTTTTGAAAATCTTCCGCTCACATCTCAACGTGAAGTACGAAATGTTTGCATCAATGAATGCAGTATTTGGATACACGCGTCAAATGATTGCAGTACAAAAACGCGCGTCAAATTACTTGTGATCGAAACATGTAATGCCAGGGATTATACTTTTCTTGTGATCCAAAGTTTGAAACAAAAATACTAAGGAGTAGAGAGTCAATAGCAACTTAATTTTTTTTGAGTTTTTACGCAGACGGTTAGTATCAAGACAAATCTCTCAATGCTTTGACTCCTCTTCAAGTTAAAACATCTTTGTTAAGATTATTTGTAAGAATTTTCCCCTCCTACGCCTTGTTTTTTGCACGTAGAAATAATTCTCATCTAAAAAGCGTTATTTGGACCAATCAGTTTAATTATTTGATTAAATTTTGAGCATGAAGAATTCTCAGCTTGCGTCAGACATTTCCTTTCTAAGAAATTAATCAAAAAGGTTACACTAGTTTTCATAAGTAATCTAACTATAGGTGTTTTTTGATGAGTAGTCTTTTTTGAGGATTAACGCAGACGGCTTGTATCAAGGCAAATCTCTGAATGTTTTGACCACTCAACAAAATAAAACATCCATAATTAGATTATTTAAGTAAAAAAATTCCTCTCACGCTTTGTTAATTACACAATAGAATATTTCTCATCCACAAAGCGTTATTTGGACCATTTAATGTAACTCTTTTGATTCTTTTCTGAGCAAGGAGATCTCTGATGCAAGCTGAAAATTCTCCTTGCTCAAAATTGAATCAAGTGAGTTAAATTGGTTGGTCCAAATAACGCCTTTTTGATGAGAAATATTTCTATGTGCAATTAACAAGATGTAGGAGGGAATTTTTTTTATAAATATAATTTAATTAAAGGTGTTTTATTTTGAAGAGGAGTCAAAGCATTGAGAGATTGATAGACGCCGTGTTAAACCTTAAAAAACAAAGTTGATATTGATACTATACTTTTTAGTATTTTTTTTCAACTTTTCTGAAATCTCGTAGTCTCTCGTTTTGTCCGCAAAATATTAGAACAAAAATTGTATCTACCTTCAGCCAAATTCTGATGACATTTTTAATCAAATGACCTTTAAATTTTTTAAAACGATCATTCAGGAAAATAAAATAGAAAACGGACTATAAAGACTTTCTTATACAACTTTAATTTAACCTAAAGCATGGTATTTTCCCCTCAATGGGATTTTACAGAGTGTTGGATTCAGAATTTACTATAAATAAAGATTGCCAAAAAAAAGAAGAAAACACCACTTGTGCTAATTATTCCGGCTAACACTTTTTGTACATCTAGCGAGCGCAAAAAAATCAAATAGTTTAGAAAATGCGCGATTGAGTCAAGCTATACAGTCAAAAAAACTTGTAGTTATGACAAATCTTCAATGTTTATCCAGCAAGGCCAATAAATATATTTTTTTCCAAAAACAAAAAAACTTTCAGACCTTATTTTTAAGGCTAAAAAAGCAATTGGAGCCTTCAACATTGGTTCGAAACTGGTGGCAACCTGCTAGTGACACTACACTTGATGCAGTTTCTACTATAGGTAAAATTTGGCATTTCTCTGATACTCTGGCATACCGTAGACCGATGAAATTTAAGAAATTGTCCTTACCGATTTCTTAAGCAGCAAATATTATACCAAAAAACGTAATATTGGTTCTCTCACCCATAACAAGTAGTTTCTTTAACAAAAAAAAAAGAGAAAAATTGACAAAAAATTAGCGTTTCCAGATATGAACATAAATTTCAAAGTGTTTGGATGCTTGAGGCTTTGGTTGTTTTTTTAAACAATTTTTAGCTTCTGAAAGACGACTTGTCATACAGTTCGTCTATTTACATATTTTTAGCATTCCTTTCGAGAGCCCAAAAAGAACAACTAAAATTGAACGTTTCTCTTATCTGTAATACTTAATAAAAGTTGTTTAAATGTTTGATGCTTTGAATTTTCTCTTAACGTATAGTAATCAAGGTCTGGAAACAAAAAAACGCTTATAGCATATTCAAAAACAAAACCACACAATGAACTGGATCTTTTTGCCGTCTGCGTGATCAATGAAAACTTGAAAAATAGCAGTTTTAACAGTTAATTTGAGAATAGAGTTAATTGGAGAATAGATTTTTTTAACCGTTAATTAGAGAACAAAATTTTGGAGTCAAACCCGTTTTCTTTGATTTTTTAACTTTAAAAAATTAGATACTTTTTGCTAGCAATACGTCGATTTACAATCAATAAAACTTTACAATTTTTTTCAAATCATTAAAAAACGCTCGCTGACAGGTCACAGCGCTTAATAAGCAGCTTGAGTTCCAGGGAAGGGTTTCCACTACTTTCTGAAGTAAAAATTTCAACCAATTAAAATCGAGCAATTTAACCAAATTTAAATTAAACTCTGATTCGATTTTTTTTTTAAAGTTTAATTTCAAGTCGGAAGAAAAATGCTCCAGGGAGTCTAGAAAATAAGACGAAAAGCAAAAAAGACAAGACCAAAATTTGAATTTAGACGTCGATGCAAAAATGGAAACTACGAAGTTGGACGTAATTGTATTTTTAACTTGGTGAAATTTTTTTACTGATTAAAGTTAACTTTCTTTGACTATAATTAGTTTTTGCTCGAGCTTTTTTAAATCCAAACCAATTTTTCACATGTCACAATTGTACAATTTTTCATTTCAAAATGCTTTCTAATTCTTGAATTAACGTTTTATAAATCATTCATAAAAAAATTTTTGATATGCAAAGAGATTATAAGCACTTTTTGCATTAGTGAAAATTTGTTCGAAGCAATAATTCGTCCAAAATGCTAGTTTTGCGAATAACATTTAACGTTCAAATTCCGTTTTACTGGAGCCAACTAATATGCTTGTCGTCTAATTTCCTAACCACCTCCAGAGGTACTTACAATTTGACAATAAATTTTTCAATTTATGTCTATTGACCAGGTTACTCAAAATGAAAAATCTAAAATATTGATTAATTTCTCCGGTATATATGTTTTATTCGGTGATTTTAAGAATTCCACAAAAAACATATTTTTCCCCGAAATTCTTGATTCTCCGGGTGGGTAAAGGGATTATTACATGGATTTTTAAACTGGGTGATAGTTTTATGGCATTTTGACATACTTCTTCAGGTAATACTTTTATTGGCGCCTCAAATCAGGTCAAAATACTGAACAGTTTATTGACGAGCAATTAAGACTAAGATCAATTCAGATTATTTATTTTAAAACGTCCTCAAGATTTGACAGCACATAGCATTTCATTTGAATCAATTTTGCATAAATTTGCAATTGGTTTGATCAGTTCAAACTGTTTTTGAGATTAAACAAGAAATTAAATTAAAATTTATTTAAAATCGTCCTCAGTAATGATTTCAGAGCCAATCTTTGTTATTTGCAGTGCTTTCAATTGGTATTAACACGAAACCGATAAGTAAACGCTTTGATTTAAACCGTTAACGTAAGGTTTAATCAGAAAGGCACTTTCTTCGTGTAATTTTTACACCTTTGCTGGAAAAACATCAGTTTTTGAAATCACGTTTTTGCAAATTTTTTTTTTATATATTATAAAAACAATCTAAAAAACCAATTGTCCACTTTGAAGAATTTAATTATAACTGGCTTTAATTCATCTGAATCAATTTTAACGCCATGTTATTTTAGAATTATTTTAGAGAAACAAAATTTGTGTCTTAAGAAGAAACTGTCGCAAATTAAATCAATAAAATTGGTTTAGCAAGCTGAATAATACCATCGATTAGTTTGTTATTTCAAAAACTGACTGACATCTGAAAATCTGCATTAAACCTTTTCATAATCCCAAATCTTTTTTGATACTCTAATCGGTACTTAGTTCGGAAAACGTCTTTTTAAGTCGATTTATCTTGAGTTAAAGAAAATCGAGAACCAAACGGAGCCTCAACATCATTTGATGGTACAGATTGTATTTTTGTATTTATTTACCATAACAATAGCCAACTAGTTACAAACATATACAGAGGTTTGGAAGAGCTCTTTTGTTTCTTAAGAGATCCTGTTTGTTATTGATAGATTGTTATCTCTAATCATACGGATTTGTCTTGATAGTTCTTGTTATAAAATCTTCAGAGGGATTGATGAAGTATTTGCCAAATAATTATTTTATGTTTGTTCGTTTAAATCCGAAGCACAAAAAGGCATTTTAAGAGGTCAAATATTTAAGCATCTAGACTCTTTGGCGTTTTTTCTTCTCAATAACTTGAATTAATTTCTTAATTTCAGTTTGTTTTATAATTAATTAGACTACCAGGATTTGATGCAGATTTTATAATTTGTAAGTATTAGTTTTATTTTAAAGTTTAGACCAATTTTCTTTTTCTCTGATATGACAAAAGGCTCAAGAAAAGCCAAAACTTGAAAATCATGACTAAAATCAGAGGCAAACTTAGCGGGCAAGGGGGTATGAAGTTCTTCATCTTCTTCGGGAGTTGAACTCCTTCCACTTTTGCACCATTTTACGACGTTTTTGAAACGATTTTTGGTCGATCAGATCCAGATTTTCCCTAAAAAGCTTTTGT